CATCTTTATAAAAAAATTAATTAATTAATTTTAAAAAATTTATGTATAAGACATCATGGTTATATATTTCCCTTTGAATATTTATTGTGAATATGTAGTATTTTTGTTACATTTCAAGTCTATCTCAAAAATAGATTTTAATGAGAAATTGTATCACAAACTAATAGTATAATGAAGTACTTTCACGAACTTTGCCTCTACTGAAGCTGAAATATAGCATAATTTGGTAGTTAATTAATGTGGCTTATTAATACATTGCTATAATAAGTACATTATGTTATTTCTGTGGGACATTGTGTATAATGTGAGTCAGTTCCCAGAAAATATATTTAGCATTTACAGATTGTAGAATGACTGTTTTACATTAAATAAATAAAAGATCTTAGGTGATGTAATTTTTATTTCCATTTTTAGAAGAAATAGCTAAAACTGTCTTTCCATTGTTTTGAAATTTGCTTCCTTACTCAGTGATATATAATGTATACACACACATGAAAATATATCTATGTATACAGTCTATCTAGGTTAACCATCCATGGGTACTTGTATACCTGTGTATTTTGCATTTGCATGTAGTGTTGTATTAATGTCAATAAGGGCTAGTTGGTTGATAGTGTTAAGATCTTCTGCATGCTTATTGTCTTCCCCCATTTTTTCTATGAATTACTGAGAAAGTGGTGTTAATACTTTCACTGATCATTGTGCCCTTGCCTATTTCTCTTTTGGTTGTGTTGACTTTTGCTTCATCTTACATTTAGGATTTTATGTCTTCCTGATGAATGACCTTTTCCCATTATGAAACATCCCTAATATCCTGAAGTCTGTATTGTCTGAGGTTAATGTAGCCATACCAGTGTTCTTATGCTAACCATTTGCATGGTATACCTTTTTTCATATTTTACTTTCAATGTATCTGTGGCTTTATATTTAAAGAGAAGCTTGTGCAGATGGCATATATTTGAATCTTCCAGTCCAGCAGTCCACTCCTTTTATTTAGTATTCACTTGTATTTAATTATTATTATTTTTTTAATTATACTTTAAGTTCTGGGATACATGTGCAGAACGTTCAGGTTTGTTACATAGGTATATATGTGCCATGACGGTTTTGCTGCACCCATCAACCTGTCATCTACATTAGGTATTTCTCCTAATGTTATCCTTCCACTAGCCCCCAACCCCCAACAGGCCCTGATGTGTGATATTCCCCACCCTGTGTCCATGTGTTCTCATTGTTCAACTCCCACTTATGAGTGAGAACATGTGGCATTTGGTTTACCGTTCCTGTGTTAGTTTGCTGAGAATGATGGTTTCCAGCTTCATCCATGTCCCGGCAGAGGACATGAACTCATCCTTTTTTTATGAATGAATAGTATTCCATGATGTGTATGTGCCACATTTTCGTTATCCAGTCTATCATTGATGGGCATTTGGGTTGGTTCCAAGTCTTTCCTATTGTGAATAGTGCTGCAAGATAATCCTTTAGTTATATACCCAGTAATGGGATTGCTGGGTCAAATGGTATTTCTGGTTTTAGATCCTTGAGGAATCACCACACTATCTTCTACAATGGCTGAATTAATTTACATTACCACCAACAGTGTAAAAATGTTCCTATTTCTCCACATCCTCTCCAGCATCTGCTGTTTCTTTTAATAATCGCCATTTTAACTGGCGTGCGATAGTATCTCATTGTGTTTTTGATGTGCATTTCTCTAATGACCAGTGATGATGAGCTTTTTTTCATGTTCTTTGTCTGAATAAATGTCTTCTTTCGAGAAATGTCTGTTCATATACTTCACCCACTTTTTGAGGGAGTTGTTTTCTTTTTCTTGTAAATTTGCTTAAGTTCCTTGTAGATTCTGGGTATTAGCCCTTTGTCAGAGAGATTGCAAAAATTTTCTCCCATTCTGTGGCTTGAAATTCTCACTGCCAGCTGGTCGCCTTTCCTACTGGGAGTTCAGTAGGCTTAAGCAGATTCCATCTGAAAGGCTGTAAGACTCTGCATGTTTCGGTATTGAGACACTAGGCCCCAGTGGCCTGGATTTTCAAGTGGGATCTTCTGATCCATGGGTTGCACAGTTCTATGGAGAAAGAACACTTTCCCCTGCTGGGTGGCATGCTCATTCACTGCCTCCCTTTGCTGGGGGGAGAAGGTTTTCCTCCCCTGTGTAGCTCTCAGGTGGGCTGCTGTACTACACTGCCCTTCCTTCTGTCCATGGGTCATGCCAGCCTTCTAGTCAATTTTGATGAGAGAACCTGGATACCTTGGTTGCCAGTGAAGGATTCACACGCTTATTATGGTTTTTTTTGATAAGGGCCTCCAAGGCCTGCTGCTTCTACTCAGACATCTTGGCCCCACCACTCCTACTATTTTTACCTTCTTTCCTTTTCTTAATGAATTGTATTGAAACACGAGAATATAGTTATTTAATATAGAACTTTACGTGTTTCTGACTATAACAGGTATGCCTACAGTATTTCCCCATTATAGTATTTACAGTTCATAGTTTATTAGGAATTTTTAAAAAGAAATTATACCTTTGCTATATCTTTCAAGATAATATTTTTTATTACTTATTGATGTGATGAATGATATTAGTAGATCTGTTATTACTGATCCATAATTTCATTCTTAAAGTAAACCTTACTCAGTATATTATTATTTTACTATTATGGTATCAGTCAAATTTCTCCATATTGTCTCTTTTAGTTTATGTTTTTTCTGCCTTTCCTGTGAAAGTACTGCCCATTCTAAGATTTTAAAAGCTAAAAACTTCCACAAATGGAAAAATAAACACTCTAACAAAAAATATATTGTCAGACTAGGAAAATATGTAACAGATAGACAAATAATCAAAATCTCTCACATACACTTTGATAAGAAAAACCAAACTGAAAAGGGAAAAAGATTATAAACAGGAAATTTACAGAAGAATACACACAATATAAATAGAAAACCCAATTGTTTTTCCTTCTCATTCATACTCAACACAGAATACTTCACCTCTAGTTACCAAAGTAGGGGAGGGTTCCCACTTCCAACATTGACCAGTTCTGTAACACCAGCTGGATATCCTACAATTTAATCCAATTCTGATAATATATCCCTAGAGTTAGCATCAAATCCCATGGGTTAAGGGCTCAATTCCTCAAGATTGCCTCCACTTCAGATATTAATCAAAAGCCTAGATTGTGACCAGTACTTTTGTCTGACCAGCTATACATTGCCAGGGTGGGAAGTGGTGGGAGCACGACCCTCTCCTCAGGGTTGATTAATTTGCTAGAGCAACTCACATAACTCAGGAAAACACATTTACAAGTGTATTAATAAAGAATATAATAGACACAGATGAAGAGATATACAAGGCAAAGTATTTGGGAAGGGGTATGAAGCTTCCATGCCCTCTTGAGGGCACATCATCCTCCCAACACCACATTTTCCATACCCTGGAAGTTCTCTGAACCCTGCAGCTAGGGGATTTTTACGAAGGCTTCATCACATAGTCATTGAGATTATTCACTCAATCTCTAGCCCTTCCCCCTTCCTAGGAGAATGGAGTTAGAACTGAAAGTTCCAAGCTTCTAATCATAGCTTAGTCTTTCTGGTGGCCAGCCTCTATCCAGGAGCCCACTAAGAGTCATCTCATTAGAACAAATAGAATCCTATCACCTAAGAAGTTCCAAGGGATTAGGAGCTGTGTGTCAGGAGCCAGGATAGAAGGTCAATTATTAGAACAAGAGATACATGTAGAACACCTATCATTCAAGAAATTAAAAGGTTTTAGGATCTCTGTGCCAAAAACCAGGGGTAGAGACCTATATCTAATTATTTCTCACACATGCTCATATACAAGTATGTATATTATTAATTTGAAGAAAAAAATGAGATGATAAACCACATGCAGTGTTGGCCATTCACTGTCACACACTGTTAGAGGAACTATAAATTCATATTATCTTTTGGGAGGTTACTTTTGCATCTTCAACCAAACATTTCACTCTAAACCTTCCACAATTTTAAATCCCCTCTGAAGAACCTCTCCTACAGATTACTGATGTTCCCACAGAATGTACATCTTCACTACAGCACTGTTAACTGGCACAACATTGGAACCAACCTAAATATCTACAAATGAAAAATGGTTTAATAAATTAACACTGTAATACCACATAGCTATTTGAAAAGAGAGATTTCAACGTAATGGCCTAAAAAGATGTTCATGATGAAGTGAAAAAAACTGAATAATAAAACTTTTGACATTTAATATATAAATAGAAGTAAGATATAAAAGGATTTGCACCACACTGTTAAAAGTGGTTATCACTGGAGATGAGTCTGAGAGAGCTTAGGGTCAAATTTGCAACTTTTACTTTACATATATGTCTTTTTTTAGCAAGGATATAGATGATTTTTTAAATTTTCTCTTAAATTTTGTTTCAGTTTTTTAAAATTAAATAATCTGGCGTCTTTAATTTGCTAAAGATTTACATAAGATTTCTATGTCTAGTCTTAAGTGAGACGAGTCTGTACGGTTTTTGGGGGGTGTGTGTGTGTGTGTGTGTGTGTGTGTATCTTTGTTCTGTGTCTGTAGGGTTTTTGGGGTGTGTGTGTGTGTGTGTGTGTGTGTGTGTATCTCTGTCCTGTGTCTGTAAGGGTTTTTGGTGTGTGTGTTTGTGTGTGTTTGTGTGTGTGTGTGTGTATGTGTGCATCTTTGTTCTGTTTGAATACCAAAGTTACATCTTGAAAAAAATGAATTAACAGTTTTCTACTTTCTGTTCCGTCAAAGTCTGAATAAAATAGGAATCATTTTATTTTCACAAGTCCTCTTAGAACCTAATTGTAAAGTTATCTGTATGTTGTATCTTTTGCAAGAGTAGTTCTTGAACCACTTTTCTACTTCTTCCATAGGCTGTTAGTCTGATATCCAGAGTCCTTTCTGCAAATAAGTTCAGCTTTCGTATCTGTACGAACTTATTTTTCAGAGAAGTTTTACTTACTCTACTGTTCATGTCTTCAATTTGCTTTGCTCGCTGAATTCTCCTCATTTCTAAGACCTGCTCTTTTTTCTTTTGCAACCATGCTTTAAATACTATGTCATTCTCTCTCTTTTTTTCTTTCTCTTCTTCTATTTTCCGTTGCTCTTCCTAGTAAAAGAATATGAAAAGTCATTAATGAAAGATTAATAAAATTGTATGAGTTATCAAAGTAGAGATAGATTTTGAGATCTGAAATTAGGATTCCCTGATCCTAAACTTTCCTTCTAGGCCAGGCACAGTGGCTCACACCTGTAATCTCAGCACTTTGGGAGGCCAAGGCAGGTGGATCACTTGAGGTCAGGAATTTGAGACCAGCATGGCCAACATGGTAAAACCCTGTCTAGAAAGATGTTCGTGAAAACACAAAGTTAGCTGAGCGTGGTGGCACACACCTGTAATCCCAGCTACTTGGGAGGCTGAGACAGGAGAATCGCTTGGATCTGGGAGGCGGAAGTTGCAGTGAGCCAAAATCATGCCACTGTACTTCAGCCTGGGTGAGAAAGAGACTCCAAAAAAAAAAAAAAAAAAAAAGAAAAAAAAATTGGCCTTCCTAAAATATAGGGCCTTCTTTCTGCTTACAGGGGAAAAAAATTAAGAGTTTTCAAATAAACTGTACAGATAAAGTCTACAAATACACAGATGTATAATATACACATGTTCAGGAACACCTTGGCTCTCTCCTCTAGCTACTTCTTACTTCTTGGTATTAAATACATCAAATTGAAACTATACAAAAGAAAAAACACACACTCCAGAAGCACTATAACTGTCTTACACATTTTTACATTGTTAATTGTGATAAATGGCATAGTGATTATGAAAGAAACTCCATAAGCATTTAGAGCTGTATATCAAAGTATGTAAATGAGACATTACATGCTGTCTAGGGTCTTGCTAGACAGCCAAAAAAGAAGAAGAGATGAAGCAAATATGCCAAAGTCTCAGTGGCTTTTGCATCTGAGAAATGAGGATACGGGAGTTAATTGCACCTTTTTAAATGTTTGAAATTTTTTGTTAAAATGTTAAAAAATATTTTTCAAGTAGTTCATATTGAAAAAGAAACATTTTTGCTACCAGAAAAATATTTAGGCACTTGGTTAACTATTAAGAACATAATGAGCCAGGCAAGTGGCTCACACCTGTAATCCCAACACCCTGGGAAGCTGAGGCAGGGGCACCAATTGAAGCCAAGAGTTCAAGACCAGCCTGGGCAACATAGCAAGGCTCCAACTCTACAAAATAAAGTTTAAAAAAAAATTAGCCAGACATGGTGGCCCAAGCCCTTAGTCCTAGCTACTCATGAGGCTGCGGTAAGAGGATCATTTGAGCCCAGGAGTTCAGGGTTACAGTGACCTAATGATTGTGCCACTGCTCTCCAGCCTGGGTAACAGAGCAAGACCCTGTCTCAGAAAAAATAAAAGGAAAATAATGGTTTTTTATCTGAATTATTTGACTAATGTTGTAAAAGAGAGTTAAACTTGAAGGGAGATACCAAAATCAGATATACAGAACCATAAAATATTTATAGTTACTGGGAGCAAAACAACGTGGCATAGTGGAAATAGCACCAGTTTGGAAGTCAGATCTGAGTAACAATCCTTCTGTGATAATACTATGCCAATTTGGGCAAGGCACTTAACTTCTGTCTCAGTATTCTCACCTACAAAATGGAGTTGCACTAATGAGATTGTAAATCTCTTTAAATACTAAAATTTTATCATTTAAATAATGAATTCTAAGTGTTTTCCTTACATTTTGACAATATAGCAAGACTTTCTAATTCAGAAGGATTAGAATTGATTGTTTAGCAGGAAGGGAGGAATGGATAAATTCTATCAAACAGCATAAAATATATTTGAAAATATCTGTATACTATTTTCTGAGCCCTACAGTATCTATATTATATAAAATATAAATGAATTTATGAAAGATTAAATTTTACATTATGTATACATTTCCTTTTCACACAAAGGACGTTGGATGCCTTGCATGAATACAGTATGATAAAAGATGATTATCTTTCCAAGGGAACATTTAGGTATATTACACAGAAGCTATCAGCCAAAGCACTGGTAACGGAGTTGCCAAAGAGAACACTGAAAGGATGCACTTACGTTGGAAACACAGAGTATTTCAGCCCAACAAAGCAAATACAGGCATAAAAAAGCAAAGCCTTCTCATGAAACCAACTAAAACATGTTAAAAGCCTTAGTACTTGAAGGCCATGCCTTGAACCAAGTTAGTTACAGGATATGGACACCACAAAAGTGTGTGTCATTCAGAAAATAGAATCAAAATGAAAACAGAATTATCCATCCCTTATACCAGTTAAAGACTAACATCAGTTCATTAGTAAAAAGGCAGTGACAGCTAGATAAAATCACCTGTATAACTTTTGTAAAAATATACATACGTACCCATATGTGTTTGTGCACAGCAAACATATAGATGTCATGCTCAAAAAATTATTTTGTATTGTCACAAAATTCTTATACTTTTAAGTGTTGTTTTATATCTGAATCAAGTAAACTTAGGTTCACTATTAGAGCTATTAGTGACCAAGTGAGTGAAGTTCCATAAGCATGCACCCTTTTAGGTTCTTGTCTAAGTGTGCTAGAGGTTACATGTTCTTATGAAGTCATTTTTCACTTTTTTTTTTATTTTTGCTAATGCCAATTCCTGATTTAAATGCCAGACATTTTCTTGATAATTTCCCATATAAAGCAGATAACACAGCCAGACACGGTGGCTCACACCTGTAATCCCAGCACTTTAGGAGGCCGAGGCAGGTGGATCGCCTAAGGTCAGGAGTTTGAGATCAGCCTGGCCAGCAGAGTGAAACCCCACCTCTACTAAAAATACAAAAAATTAGTAGGGCGTGGTGGTGGGTGCCTGTAATCCCAGCTACTCGGGAGGCTGAGGCAGGAGAATCGTTTGAACCCAGGAGGCGGAGGTTGCAGTGAGCCAAGACTGCACCATTGCACTCCAGCCTGGGCAACAAGAGTGGGACTCTGTCTAAAAAATAAATAAATAAATAAATAAATATATAAATAATAAAGTAGATAGCACACCATTTCTCAAGGGTGCCAGAGAACTGGGTATTTTTCTTTCAGTTTGCTACTAACAAGTACATATATACCTTGGTAAAGTTATTTAAAATTTCTAAGGTTTTCTTATCTGCAAAATCATCTGAAAGAGGTCACTTCTCATGTATTATCTGCTGAACACTGTATTTAGAATTAGACATTTTATATGGCTCCGCTTAATACCATTAGGTTTCCAGTAAAACAAAGAATTGGAGCACTGATATAAGAGGGTCATTTCTGTACCATTTGCATTATAAATGGATGGCAAAAACCCCTGACTCTCAATGTCTTGAAAATTCAGAAATTCAAATTTTCCATCTCTCTCTGCCAGTATTGTCCTATCCTTGTTTTCTTCACAGCTTCCATTAGGAAGTGACAGGAACACATTTTCTTGTTCAAAATCATTGGAAATACAGATTAAGCCCTGGAATTTTCAATTCTAAGATACATAGAGTTTCACATATGAACAAAAATGAAAAACAAAAACACTTAATTTGGGATTTCATATGGCATTTTGGAGACATTTCATTAACAATATTAGGCTATATTCTTAATAAAAACTAAAATCCTGGAAATAAAGGAATTGTAGGCATAGAAGATAATATGAAACACATGCAAGTAAAATAATTATAGTCCAAGTCTTCCTGTTGTCTCTTAAACCTCTACACTTGGTGCCTTCATTTTTCCATCTGACATTTTATTTTCAACTATCATATCAAGATTACTTTCAGCAGTCACTTAACGTCTCTGAGTCTCACCTTTAAAATGAAAGGATCAGATGAAGTCATCACTGAGATCTCCACTAATACAGATCCGTCTACTATTCTTTGTGATCCTTACAAGGACCAAAGTAATCACAGTGTTCATTCCATAAGTACACATTTTTAACACTTAATCTAACAATAGATATATAAAACAAGCAAAAAAATCTCCAATAGTTTGAACAACTGTTTCAATTCCCATTGTATTTACAAAGCAGGAAAACATCATCTACTTTTGATACAATGACCACTTAGGTTCTCACCTCTCTTTTGAGCTTTTCTCTCTTTTGTTCTAGCTGTTTTTGTAGTTCTTTCTGTCGAGGGGAAAGACAATATGTTGAGGTCACTGGTGAGATATGTGCAGACTGCGTCCTGTGATTAGATTTCCCATTCCCTTTACTTCGATCTGAGTTGGCAGCAGAGCTTGGACAAGTCTTGCGGTTGAGCGGTGGCTGAGGGATATAAGCCAGCGGCTCCCCTATTGATGAGTGAGTGACAGCATGAATCTTTGCTGCAGAATCTTCTTTCTTGATGCCACTGACAGAGGAATTGGAAGATCTCGGTAACAACTGCTGAGGGTCATTTTCTGTACTATTTGCATTATTAATAGGAGGCAAAAATCCCTGACTCTCAATGTCTTGTAAATTCACAAGTTCAAACTTTCCATCTCTCTCTACCAGTATTGTTCTATCCTTGTTTTCTTCACAGCTTCCATTAGGAAGTGACAGGAGCACATTTTCTTGTCCAAAATCATTGGAAATACATAACTGTGACAGTTTTCCAAACATATTCCTTTCATTTTCAACATAATTTTTGTCTTCTAATGGAGGAACTTCCAAATCAACTAATTTGTCCTTGAACTTAAGTTTCCGCTCCCTTTTATCATTCACAGGTTCTTGATTCTGTAGAAGCTTGTTAGCTTGTACAATTTTGTCCATAATATATCTCCTCACTTCCTCATCCTCTTCATCCTCCAAGTCTTTCTGGCTTTCTATTTTGGATTCCTGGAAAGAGTTTTCACTATCTGAATCTGATATGGGATCTGAAGGTTGACTACTTGGTACAGAAATGAAGTCATCTCTTCTTGGTGAGATCTCATCCTGGAAAGATTTGTCAGGATCAGAAAGCTGTTTGGTGTGTTCTATTACTGTTTCATTCTTTTTTAAGTCTTGGTTAATATGCTCTTCCTTCTCACAAGCCATCTAAAAACAAGATATTTTTCAGTCAAAATTGAGATTCATTTATAAGTAGACAGAAAATGGTATTTCCCTGTTCATGTAATTTATTTTATGAATGAGAAAATTTAAGGCTTCTTCCACATAATTTGCTCATAACATTCTAATTCATACTTATGAGTATCCAAGGGAAATATATTTGACAACAATTCGGGAGAAATTCAACTTTAAATTTGAATTTGATGTAGTTAAGTACTACACTGATTTTTAAACATTTTTATGCTAATGTATCAAAAGATAACCACAAATAATAATATTAATATTCCTTCCCCTATAAAATTTTCCTCTTTACATTTTAGAAAAACAGTTTTCAAAAATGTTTCCTCCTTGAATCTCCAATCAAACATCTTTCTCCCCAGACCATTTCAAGGATGAATTATTTGGTCAAGTCCTAATCACGTGAGGTTTTTTTAATCTTTTCAGACTATTACTGTCACTATAACCTGCAGGACTTATCTAAATTCCAGGTCAATTTTTATCTCTAGATCAGATTTTCCTTCTTCAACTATGCTCAGAGATTTCAGTAATCCATGCTAGCCACTATGAGATAACCTGGCCTTAAAAAAATTAATTCCACATGAACCATAAATCAGTATCAGTGCAGCACAAAACTCTACTCCACTTCTGCTGTATCTAACTAAATATATATATATATGTGTGTGTGTGTGTATATATATATATATATATATATATATATATATACATCTTTGTCAAACAGTTCTCTCCCACCTATCCTAAGGCAGTTCTATAGGAGCTACTACATGCTGCTCTCTTCAACCCCTTAAAATCACCTTCTTCCTTTGCTTGCTCATAGGTCATCCTACGTGATAGGGAAGGTCGTCTTGTCTGATAGATGTCTAATAAGGAAATAAAGCTGGCCCATTAAAATGACTGCCAAATAACTATGATTTAACTAAGATCTCTGTAACACAATTGTTCATTTTAGCCTTATTTGATTCTCTGGTTAATTCTTTTTTTATTTTTTCAGTATCACGAGGATGGCAGGTCTCTGGTTCATTCTTATAGTCTCAGTTTCTAAGCTGTCCTTTAGCTTTTATTTCTTTTCTTTTGAAAACCCCTTTTTACAAAAAAAATCTTCCCCTGACTTTCTTATGTGTGTCTAGCTCAGTCACCCCCTTTTCCCAAAAGCCTCAAAAGAAGAGGTTATCATAATCATCCACTAGAATGTATAAGATTCATGACAGCACTTTTATTTTATCCCTGCTCTATATATCCCTAGCACCTAGAACAGCCTCTGATACATGATAGGTGATCATTAATATTTGTTGAATTAGAAAATGAAACAATAAATCATCCTTATTACCTCTCTAATTCTATCACCCTGTGCTTTGGAATTCACATCCCTCCAGTCTGAAGAAATTGTTTCAACCTTACCACTCTGGGTATCTGCCTCTACTCATTCTGCTTATTTTTCCATTAGGATGCATAAAACTCTCATTTAAAAGCCATCTTAGAAAAATCTTCACTTTTGACTCTGTTTCCATCTTCAAATATTGTGTATCCCATTTGTCTTTTCCATTATATAAGAGCAAAATGGAACTAAGAAATCTGTAATATAAAACCTGCATTTCCTCATAGTCTTTTCCTTAACACTTTTAAAACTGGCTTCTGCTCTAACAACTCTGATCATTATTATCCATCGGAAGTCACCTATTTATATCCCAGTGTTAGTCCTTTTCCTTATTACTGACCTACTTATTGATAGTAACTTATATATACATACACACATATGCATATACACATATATACATTATATAGAAATACACATACACAGTATACATATGTAAAGAGGGAGAGAAAGAACCTACCATGATGTAAGAACTGGTTAATTTTCCTGGATTTCCCTTCTACATCTCTGATAAATAGTATATAACCATGCTTAATGGATCCACTTTTTCCTATAACTATTCCTGTGACTCAGACTTTGACCCTTTACTTTGTTCTCTATATTCATTGCCAGGAATAGCTAATTCAGTCTTAAAGTTTCAAATATTAGCTAAAAGGTCATGTGTGTAGAGGATTTGATTTATTTTTCATTTATTTTAATAGCATAACCCTATGATTTGACCCAATTTCACAGAAAGTAGGAATTAACTGTATTTTTTTTACTTTCAATGCAATAAATCATGATTTTGCCATTTATTTATTTCTATTATTTAAATTATAATATAATGGTCATTTCAGTTTTATTAAATGCTAACCTAATAACTGTTCTCTCACTAATCTGGTCTATGCCTTAGGATACAACATTTAAGCAATCTATGCCTCAATTTTCTTATCTTTAAAATGAGGATAATAATAATTTGCCCAATGTACATCAAAGAAATTTTGTGATGTTTAGATGAGATAATAATGTGGAAATCTTAAAGAACTGCAAAGCATTTTGTAATATAATTATTATGAATGCTGTTGGCAATATATACCTCTATTATGCTGGCATCACTTTTTTCATTTTCATTAATTAACCACTCCAGGTCCTTTTCAAAGTCATCTTCATATTCTTCACTTTCTTTTGAATCAGCATCTTTATTTTCATTCATTGTCTGTTTGTGAAAGAAAATGCTATAAGATTTTAAAAGATAAGGCATATGTTATGTTCACCCTAGAAGAAGAATGGAGCATGGAAATTAATGCTGTAGGTAAGCTAATTAACACACAGAAACACAAAATGGAACGTTCAAAATGAACATGCACCCAAATACATCATAAAAGAGAGATGTGCAATGGCAAGACATTTCCATAGGTCGGCATTCCTAAAAATTCTCCCACTTCCCCTAATTACCCAAACTCTGATATATAAGGAGTCTAAAAAAAAGCAGATAAAAGACTAATGCTTAGAAAAGGATTTTTCCATATTCTTTGCCAATCATTAAAACCTTTGCCCAGGCCAGAGAAGACAGCTTAGTTTTTTAATCTCACCCACTAACATTTTTTCATGTACAAATGAAAACAGTTCCCATCCTCAGTTTCCCAATCCTTCTAGTAATTTATATGGCATAATTATAATTTATGATATGAGAGCTTTTTAATACAACTGATTTTCAAATATGATGAATGCTGATTTCCACAGGAGTCAAACTTTTGTCAACTCTAAATATTTTGTTCATTAAAAAAAAAACTGTGATGATACCTAATACAATCTAGAAGTGAGCGACAGTAAATAGAGTTGTCAGATGAAAGGTAAAAATGGCTGCTTTTCTGTTCCAGGTGACAAAGTGTGTTTGTGTGTGTGTGTGTGTGTGTGTGTGTGTGTGTGTGTGTGTTAAAGTGGTATATGAATTCAGGCATTTTTGAAAGAACTAAGCTAAAATTATCTTTTAATTAAAATCAGTTCCTAGGCCTTTATTTTTTTTCTGTATATAACTTCTCAAAGAAATGGAACATACAAATCTTTACCTATAATGTGTCTGTATATCTGTGTGAGCCTTCTGTGTGTGTGTGTGTGTGTGTGTGTGTGTGTGTTTCAGACAGAGTCTCTCTCACTCTGCTCACTCTGTTGCCCAGGCTATAGTGCAGTGACATGACCTCAGCTCACTGCAACCTCTGCCTCCCGGGTTCAAGTGATTCTCCCGCCTCAGCCTCCTGAGTAGCTGGGATTACAGGAGGGTGCCACCATGCCCAGCAAATTTTTGTATTTTTAGTAAAGATGAAGTTTCATCATGTTGGCTGGTTGGTCTTGAACTCCTGACCTCAAGCAACCCACCCTCCTCGGCCTCCCAAAGTGCTGGGATTATAGATATGAGCCACAGCACCTAGCCTATCAAAGAAATTTTGATGAACATTTGTTGAACACCTACTATTTTCCTATATATACTCATAATGATTTATAAGCACCTTAAGGTGCTTGCAGTATGCTAGAGAAGACAAAGCTAAATAAAAAGCATAAATAAAAACGTAGACAATTGGAATAAAGGATATGTAAGGAAGAATAAAAAAAACAAGTAACTCAATACAAAATTGAAACTATCAAAGGAAGCTGGTATGGAGTTTGAATACCAGTATGAAAGTTCATCAGTTATTCCAAGCAAAGAGACAGCATGAGAGAGAACAAACAAACATGGAAGCACATGGGACTGCACAGCATGGCCTGAACATAGTGTGTTTTGAAGAAGGGTCTGGAAAGAGTATAAGGGTCAGTTTGATGTCATATTATCTTTCCAAAGAGAAAAAGGTTGGGGAAAATTATTAATGTAGATGTAACTGCCATGAAATCAACAAAGGTGGAAATACACAGCAATAATTTGCATACGTTCAACTATTGACTTAAAAAAGAACAATGCTTTCTAAATTTTCATAGAATTTTAGGTCCAATCTCAAAAGAAGTGCAAAAATCAGATCTACAGGGGCCCAAATGCTTGAGACTCTGTTTCTATACTTTACTTACCTTGCTCCTGCATCAAGACTAATTTGCCTAATATTATTTTTGGAAGTAGAAAGTCCAGATGTCAATAACACATGAGACATAGGCACATTTTTAAAGGTATAAAATGAGAAATATTATAACTGAATAAATAATCCACAAACTTTGTTTTAGCCATTAGTTTCACTTTACCCTCCCCAAATCTTTGCCCAGACTATCTAACCTGATACAATTTTACTAAAGAGAGATTTACATTTTTTCTTCCCATAGTTCACCATCAAATGATAGTGCAGCCATGTGGGACAGTATCTTTCAACTAGCTGCACACGTACTAGATAAGTAGAGATAAGCCTTTTCATACTATGTGTAAAATATTTTAACAGGTGTTAGTGAACAGTAGAGTTCACTAAACTCTGAGTTTTAAAATGATTTTAAAAGAATGAGTTAAAAGAATGATAAAGATACTAAAAATGTAAATGAGCGCTAAGGTTGAGACATATAGATAATATATGAAGTATTGTGTCCAGATTTTTTTACTAGAGTTTAGAAAACAAAAACCAAACTAGAGCACATTCAGAGGCTAGCAAACCAGGAGAAAGGAACATAAAAGAGAAGGAAAAGGAAGAGTAAAATCCTTAAAGTAGATACTGAGGAATAATTGAAAACTCTGGAAATGTTAACCTAAAGAAGAAAAAATTAAGAACAACTGCTTTACAATATTTTGAAGGAGAAATGGACTTGCATAATCTCAAGGAGTAAAACTAGAACCAAGGGCTGGAAACTTAGGGGCAAACTTTGGCACAAGGTAAGACAGAGCTTACATTTTCAACTCTGTCCTGAGTGAAATTAGCTGCCTATAGAAGTACTGTATTTCCTGTCAATATAAATGTTTATACATAGCCCCAAAGAGGACTGTGGAAGGAACATTTTAAAGGACACAAGCTTTAGGAAAGCAATTGAGCTACATGACCTTTAAGATTCTTTTTAACTCTAAGAGTCTTTTTTTCTATAAGATGCAAATTAGCAATTCTCAACTCATGAAGAGCAAGAGAATTTTAAAAGCAAATGCATAGTAATATGATAAAGCTTAATCTAAAACAAATGATCAGTGTCTGAATGATTAAATTCAAGACTTAAAAAAAACAAAATTCTACTTTTATACTGTTGGTGTGACTATAAATCAGTTCAACCATTGTGGAAGACAGTGTGGCGATTCCTCAAGGATCTAGAAATAGAAACTCCATTTGACCCAGCAATCCCATTACTAGGTATATACCCAAAGGATTATGAATCATTCTACTGTAAAGACATATGCACACATATGTTCATTGTGTCACTGTTTACAATAGCAAAGATCTGGAACCAACCCAAATGCCCATGAATGATAGACCAGACAAGGAAAATGTGGCACATATACACTATGGAATACTATGCAGCCATAAAAAACGATGAGTTCATGTCCTTTATAGGGAAATGGATAAATCTGGAAATCATAATTCTCAGCAAATTGACACAAGAACAGAAAATCAAACAATGCATTTTACCACTCACAGGAATGTGTTGAACAATGAGAACACATGGACACAGGGACGGGAGCATCATGCACTGGGGTCTGTTGGGGACTAGGGGACGGACAGTGGTGGGTGGGGAGGTTGGGGAGAGATAACATGGGGAGACTTGCCAGATATAGGTGATGGGGGGATGGAGGCAGCAAACCACTGTGCCATGTATGTACCTATGCAACAATCCTGCATGATCTGCACGTGTACCCCAGAATCTAAAGTACAATTTAAAAAAAAAGTTCTGAAGTCTGTTTCATTAAAATGCCATCTTTTCTCTGGATAGTTATTAATGTTGGCTCTTTTTCCTTCTCAAAGATAAAGTTAATTTTAGGTACACTTTAGGTATGCTGAATTAATAAATAATCCACAAACTGTTTTAGCCACTTAATTCTCCCCAAACCTTTGGCCAGACCAAGTTATTACTGAATAACTGTTAATTACTCAATTTAATTATTATGGAATAATAACTGTTAATTGTTCAACTGGATAATTTTTTTCTAAAATATTCATTGGGCTATAATTTCTTCTAGATATTTATTTAAAACTAAAAATACAAAATAGATTTGCTAAAGCACTCAAAAGCAAGCCCTTCAATAATTTCTAAATCAAGTTGAGGGCAAATTTTATCTTGATAAACTAAATCAACACTTTAGAGTGAGTTTCACTTCCTAACTGCAAGACAAGCTAAATTAAGCTATTATTTCTACCTACTGACCAATTAAAACCAAATGCACCATGAATGATGCAGAATAAACTAAATCTCACTGCAATGCAAAATATTTACAGTAAAAATAGTACTTTTCACAGTCACAACTCCTTGCAATGATCAGTTTTCCTTTCTTTACATAAATATAATATAAGAATATTTATTTGGAACTCTTCAGTCCTTTCCCTGATTTTATGATAAACCTAGTTCCGAGCTCATAAATAAATGGCTGCCTGAAGACTTTAGTAGATATGTTTTATTGTTTACAGAGAATTCCACCCACATGAAAACTAAAATTTAAAATGAAAGCATAATACCTGTATAATAAATTAAAAACACAATAATTAAAAATTTAACAGATTAGGGGTCTTTACATCATACTATTATGCCATAATTCAAAGGGAAAAAAACACCATAGTTAAGGTAACTCTGAGAAGTAAATCAAGTCGCATTAAATCTGAAGTGAAATTCTTTTCCTATAACTTAAAAATAAAAAAACCCTCATGACTGGTTCTCAAGTAAACAAAGAACATAAATTGCAAACTCTGGTTATCAAATCCCTTAAGCCTTTTTCAAATGCGTCACAGGATATTCAACCCCTTCAATTCTTTTAATCTACATCTCCAGGGTACTGTCCATATGGTACACAGTCAACAAGCCAGAACAAAAATACATCGTACACAAACAAAATCACTTAACACTTCCTACTTTATGATTTTGAGGTTCACACATTTAAATTTCAACATTTATCATCAGTAAAAATATAGGTAAGTGGCTATATTTACCACTTACGGAAATCAATTCCTCCCTGAGTGTCTGGTAAATACCATGTGGATAGGTGGACTGCAGATCTTTTCAGTGGGAATCTTAAGCCAAGTACATAAGTATATATAATTTTGATAACTTTCTTTCACAATTCAGAATGTTTAAAAATAGTTTAATCTAAATAATCGATTCCCATCTTACAGCGTTTTAAACATATGCTTGTTTAAAATCTAAGAACTGAAAGCATATCAAAGAGAATGCCCTTGAATATAAAGTAAGTACTTAAGCAAAAACTAATCCGTAACATCATGAAACCATCTGGCCCATTATTCTTGTGTGTCCTGCCAAGACTGTGATCCTATAAGTAAATTTTTAAAAAATCATAACCTGTCGCAAAGTGTGATGTTAGATACTTTATGAACTTTCGGTGATAATTTTAATCTGCATTCAGGATCCCAACGAAATGAATACCATTGCCTCCTCATGGAGGCTACAATTTCAGGAATGACTTTTTCTCCCAGGGACAAGATTATTACTTTCCCCATTCAAGAACTTTGAGAGGGAAAAGAATATGACAAAAACTTAGTCTAAGCTACCCTCAGACGAGTTTCCTCCATACATAGTAAAGCAAGGTGTTGCCACACTTCCCCACCAGGACCAGACTCGTTGGACCCCGGACTGTAGAGGATAAGGTACCACCAGAAAGCTTCTTCCGTCACTGCCTACCTTCCCTCCCAGCTATACTAGACGTTTATACCTTTACTCTCTTTCCTATCATTAATATTATCGCATCGTCCTTCCCCTTTCTCCCTCAATATCCCTCCTGCCTGTGTAAAATGCAGCGGCTGGGGTCACAGAGATAGCCGGGGGAGTTCTCTCCTCGTCTTTCTAAGCTCTTCACATTGAGGCCACGGAGACCCGCACCTGCCTCCGCGGCAGCCAGGACGAAACTGCCATGGCAACAGCGTGCCTCTGCGTCCTCCATCCGGGCTTCTCTAACTAGGAGCGCGACATAAACCCGCGCAGGCGCAGGCGCAGGCGAACGCGACAGCCTCAGAACACCTACCCTTCCCGGCACCCATCCCAGTGCTTGCAAAGGTCCCGTCAAGCTGCGGTTTCTAAGGAGACGACCAAGAAATCCGCGCGTCACTAATGTTATGAGAGACCCGCGAAGGGCTGCTGTGTTGATTGTGAAATTTCCCGCTTGAAGCTGTGTTGAAGAGCATCTTTTCTCCAAGAGAGGCAATGTAAAATTAGTTTTAGATAATCTTCAAATTATAGAGTAAGGTTTTTTAAAATGTAAGATTAAAATGAATTGTAATAAGTGCACTTCCTAAATGTAGTGTAATTGTAATTACGTAATGTTTCTACTGCTTCAGCACTTGAAAAAAGACCCCCCCAAGAAGGTTATTCAGTGTTAAAGGTTGAAGGAATTTTAGTCAAATCTCCTCTAATGAATGTAGCGTTGTAGAGTTACCAAAGCTGGAAGTAGACCCTAGGTTTCAGAACTCCTAGGTTAATAGTTTTTTCCTCTGACCATCCCCCTAAATTTGTGTTTTTCAAATAATGGATGATAACAGCATTATTTTTTAATTTCAATAGGTTTTGGGGGAACAGGTGGTGTTTGGTTACATGGATAAGTTCTTTAGTGGTGCTTTTTGAGATTTTAGTGCACCAATCACCTAAGCTGTGCAGTGTACACTACACCCAATATGTAGTCTTTTTTATTTATTTAATTTTTGGAGACAGAGTCTCGCTCTGTCTCCCAGTCTGGAGTGAAGTGGAACGATCTCGGCTCACTTCAGCCTCTATCTCTTGAGTTCAAGCAATTCTTATGCCTCAGTCTCCTGAGCAGCTGGGACTACAGGTGTGCCACCATGCCTGGCTAACTTTTTGTATTTGTAATAAGAGTCGGGGTTTCACCATGTTGCTGAGGCTGGTCTGGAACAACTGAGCTCAGGCAATCCACCCGCCTCAGCTTCCCAACCAGTTTGTAGTCTTTTATCTCTCACCCTGCTCCCACCTTTTCTCCCAAGTCCCCAAAGTCCACTGTATCATTCTCATAACTTTGCATTCTCATAGCTTAGCTCACTCTTATAAGTGAGAACATAGGATGTTTGGTTTTATGTTCCTGAGTTACTTCACTTAGAATAATGGTGAAGTAACCTCCATTTCCATCCAGGTTGCTATAAATGCCATTATTTCATTACTTTTTATGATTACTATTCCGTGGTATGTATATATACCACATTTTCTTTATCCACGCGTTGATCGATGGGCATTTGGGTTGGTTCCATATTTTTGCACGAATTGTACTGCTATGAACATGTGTATGCAAATGCTTTTTCACATAACTTTTTTTCCTCTGGGTAGATACCCAGGAGTGGGATTGCTGGATCAAATGGTAGATCTACTTTTAGTTCTTTAAGAATCTCCACACTGTTTTCCATAGTGATTGTACTACTTTACATTCCCACCAACAGTGTAAAAGTGTTCCCTGATCACCACATCTATGCCAACATCTGTTATTTTTTTAAATTTTTTTGCTTATGACCATTCTTGCGGGAGTAAGGGTGTTGTATTGAGGTTTTGATTTGCATTTCCCTGATCATTAGTGATGTTGAGCATTTTTTCATATGTTTATTGGCCATTTGAATATCTTATTTTGAGAATTGTTTATTCGTGTCCTTAGCCCACTTTTTGATGGGATTATTTTTTTCTTGCTGATTTGAGTTCCTTGAAGACTGTGGATGTTAGTCCTTAGTCAGATGCATAGTTTGTGAAGATTTTCTCCCACTCTGTGGGTTGTCTGTTGACTCTGCTGATTATTTCTTTTGCTATGCAGGAGCTTTTTAGTTTAATTAAGTCCCATATTCTTGCCTTTGTTTTTGTTGCATTTGTTTTTAGCTTATTGGTCATGAAGTGTTTGCCAAAGCCAATATCTGGAAGGGTATTTCCAATGTTATCTTCTAGAATTTTTATGGTTTTGGGTCTTAGATTTAAATCTTGAAATTAGTCACACAATCACAAGGTGAAATCCCACAACAGGCCATCTGCAAGCTGAGTAGCAAGGAAGCCAGTTCAAGTCTCAAAACCTCAAAAGTAGGGAAGCCAACAGTGCAGCATTTAGTCTGCGGCCAAAGGCCCAAGAGTTCCTGGAAAACCACTAGTGTAGGTCCAAGAATCCAAAAGCTGAAGAACTTGTGATGTTCGAGGTCAGGAAGCATCCAGCATGGGAGAAAGATGGAGGCCAGAAGGCTCGGGAAGTCTGGTCGTTCCACGTTCTTCTGGCTGCTTTTATTCTAGCTGTGACAGGCAGCTGATTAGATTCTTCACGCCCAGATTGAGGGTGGGTCTACCTCTCCAAGTCCGCTGACTCCAATGTTAATCTCCTTTGGCTATGCCCTCACAGATACATCCAGGAACAATACTTTGCATCCTTCAATCCAATAAAGTTGACACTCAATATTAACTGTCACACTTTCTAAGGACTCCTCTTCAAGAGAGTCTGTGTTTTTCAGCTCCTTCAGCTGTAATTCCCTGTTATGATAATACAGCCTGATTGATAGAGGGGTGAAGTGTGAAGGAAGGGAATCATTCTAGAGTCTTATGATTAAATTTCAATTTTTTTAGTTGGCCTGTGTCCCTGGGCTGTGACTTTTACTAGGTTTCTTAGGATCTCCCTTCATCCCAGTAGGTGGGACAGAAAGCCTAGAGAGGGAGCTAGAGAGTTGTAGAAACTGTCCTTCCCCTATATAGGATAAGGCCATGATAATGTCTTTTTCCTGGAAAGTAGGCCTTTGTTATAAGAATGTTCTAGGCCTACTTTTATAATGGTTACTTTCCCTCTCTATCTACAGAACATTTTCATGTCTCCCAACTGAAACTATGCCCACTAAACACAAATTTCCCATTTTCCCTTCCCTTCAGCCCCTGGCAACCACCATTCTGCCTTCTAACAATGTAGTCTTTTGCATTTGCCACAATGTTTTTGACGTTCTCCATGTGTTAGTATTTCATTCCTTTTTATCACAGAATAAAAATCATTGTATGGATATACTACATTTTATTTATCTACTCACTAGTTGATAGACATTTGAGTTGTTTCTGCCTTTGACTATTACAAATATTATTGCTATAAAAATGTGCATACAAGTCTTTGTGTCAATATATGTTTATTTATATTGGTTAGATTTCTATGCATAGAATTCTTGGTTTGTACGTAATTTTAAAGAAGGTAACAATCGGCTTTCAAAAGTAGCTATAACCATTTTATGTCCCCACCAGCAATATATGAGAATTCCGGTTTCTCTATAGCTTTGTTTAATACTTGGTATTTTCTGCTTTTTTGTTTACAACCATTCTAGTGAATGTATACCATTATCTCATTTGGCATTAATTTGCATTTCCTGAATGACAAATATTGTTAAGAACTTATCATATTCAGATTGAGTATCTCTTATGCAAAGTGCTTGGGACTCAAAGTATTTTGGATTTTGGATTTTTCTCAGGTTTTTAAATATTTGCAGAATACATACCACATAAACTATTCCTAATCTAAAAATCTGAAATCCAAAATGCTCCAATGAGCATTTCCTTTTCATAAAATTGTTGCTGGGCTAAATGGGTAGGGGAACATTGCAGATGTGGAAGTCCAATTCTCCTACCATCTGCTTGAAGTTTTTTTCCAAAAAAGTTTTCTTTATGGCCCTAGGGTCTGTCTCACCCTCATATTTGAGTTCTGGACTGTTGGTGGGGAAAATCACAGCTCTGTATGTTTTTTGGTTTTCTGTGGGGGAGAGTGAAACCAGCTTGCTTCTATACTGCCACTTTAAAACCAGATGTCTGTCCCCCAAAAAAATATTTTAATGGTAATAATTAGCATTAAATTTGCTTTTAGGACCATTGTAAGCCACAAAGATATCTATAGTAGCACAGTTTGTAAATGTGGTTGATAGGGAGCGGCACATAAATAGAAACCCTAAAGGCTGAACATGTAAAATCACAACTACTTTTATGCCTGTCTTTATCTAGTCTAACATGGCAGTAAACCAAATATGTTTTGATATACTGACAGCAAAGTGTTATAATGATTGCCACCTCTTTTTTTCTTCCTTTTGAGGAAGTAGGAAAATGCAGAGCAGAACAAATCAGTTCTGTTTCAGACTCTACGCCTTTCCTGGTTCTAGGCTAAACGACTCCCAAGTCAAAAGTATAAATGAATGACATTACAAAGAATTACACAATAACCAAGCTGATGCAATTAAAAAGATGACATGAAAATTGTAGCGAAATTTTGTCAAGATAATGTACTAATAGGGTGAGGAGTGAATGAAAGGACATAGGAGTCAAAGATGACTTACAGCTTTTAGCTTGTGCAAATGAAAGAACGGCAGTTTACTGAGATCCAAGAGAACCAGGGAAGATGACCAGAAATCAAGAATTTGTTTTTCGACTATGTTATGATTAATTAAGCAATCAAGTAAATATGGAACTAGGTAGTTGAATATGTAAGTTTGAATTCAGATAATAAAGGACTATATATATATAAATTTGAAAGTGATCAGTGTACACAGAGTTCATAAACCCAGGGTGAAGACAGAGAGGAAATGTAGATAAGAAGAAAAAAAGGCGGGTGGATCACGAGGTCAGGAGATCAAGACCATCCTGGTGAACATGGTGAAACCCCGTCTCTACTAAAAGTACAAAAAATTAGCTGGGCATGGTGGCGCGTGCCTGTAATCCCAGCTACTCAGGAGGCTGAGGCAGGAGAATTGCCTGAACCCAGGAGGCGGAGGTTGCAGTGAGCCGAGATTGCGCCATTGCACTCCAGCCTGGGTAACAAGAGCGAAACTCCGTCTCAAAAAAAAAGAAGAAAAAAAGAGAGAGAGAGAGATATTAGAGAACTTAGCCCTACGGTTACATCTTAGGTTACACCTAAGTTGAGCTGTCAGGAAAAAGAGGAGGAACCAGGAAAGGAGATCCAGGAGTGACTGTTGAGGAAGAAAAAGAACCAGAAGCA